GGGTTTCTTGGACAGTCTGTGGATCAGGCAAGTTAGCTACACCATGGAGCCACATGGCCATAGTTTCACATATATTAAGAATGTCTTCATGATGACAAAATTAAAATGATTTGGTCAATTTATAATTAAAACACAGTTTTATAAAAACATAAGGAAAGATAAGGGAAATATTAACCCTTTCAAATTATGCATCATGTACTTTCACCTAAAATAATGTTGATTATTACAGTACCAGTACATACAGCTAGCCCCCACATAACTGATGCTCGATTACCAGCCTAAACTAATATTAATTTGATATACTACTGTACAGGCAATATTTTATAGCAGTCTCATAAATTGATGCTTGTACTAAGTAAAAATTCATTACAAGTCTGAAAATTTGACCAAGATGGCCACTATCACTGCCTGCAAGTCTGCAGATTCAATAATAATTAATTTATGGTTCTGTCCACAATATCAAGTTTTCTGTTGCAAATATATGGGATTTGCCCATATATGGGTATAATGGCGTATCAAATCCATATAGTAAATCACAGCTATTTGTCACAGAAAAACGGGACAGTGTGGACCTAGACCTTTAGATGGTGGTTTTTACCACCTTGAAATCAAAGGTGTTTATACTTGCAAGTTTGTAACCATAGATCTTGTTATAGAAGGACCTGATTGGACAGTGCAAGACATCATAGACGGATTGGATCTTGTCAATGCTGTCTGTACTCTTTTACAATGATTTTTTTTTATCTCTTTTTCTTAATTTTTTAATCTTGGCAAGATAGACATTGATCTATTTGAAACCTTTACAAAAAAGTCTCATGCATCCCATAATAGTGATTTTAACAGGAGTCAAACACTAATACAGTTATTCACCTAAACATTCTTAGAGGAGGTAAGAAAACATACTCAAAATTCAACCATGACACATATGGCAATTAATAATAATAATAATACATAATTATATTCAACTGGACCAAACTTCAATATAGTTTATGAACTATCAGTAGACAATACTCTATAATTCTATATAATGTTACAGTAAAAGAGGAATGACGTCAATTATTGTTAATAATACTGTTGTATCACACACATGTTCAAATGATCATTTTAACTTGATACGAAAATAATAGTAATTAATATTCATTAACCCTGTCTCTTATACACATCTCCCCTCCTCCCAAACTTAGCCTCCGGAGGCACTTTACACATACCTATAGCCCCCCCAACCAAAACTTCTGGATCCGCCCCCTGATGGTCCCTAATAATTTTCAGTAGAATAGGTAGCGCAAGTGCCTCATGTCTTGGAGTGGCTGCTGCACACCCCCGTAAGGTTGGTATACAAGTGAGCCCCCTGGCTGGGGGCTGGGGCTTCTGGTGGGGATTCTTAAGCATCACCTGCTACAAATGTGAATATAATACTATTAAAATTAAGTACGATATGTTGTTTTCATCAGTAATTCCTAAATACCTCTGTACATGGACATGACAATGACATGACGTGCAATGCAAAGACTTAAATAGGTCCCCAGCAATGGGTGTGTCAAATACAATTTTGTAATTGGGTTTGTGTACAATTGCAATATATTTGTATATGAATGATTGATGAAATCAAGTAAGACTAAGTGAAATGCTACAAATGAATTGTTAATCATTACGGTATTTATTGAAATGCCCAGATGCGAGACTAACATTGCCATGTTAATGTTAATACGTGGTAGTTATATATACATCTTCACCCTAGTACATAATTAAATAGCTACAGAACTTTTTATGTGCTCAATCCAGACTGTCCAACTAGTACACAAGAATTTAAAATTCAGCAATCCTGCAACTTTTGTCCATAAGATCAAATGAAACCTGCATGAATCCAGATTTCCCTATGGTGACCCTAATTTTCTGAATTACAGAAAAACAATCTTTGCTTTTAGGTCAGTTATTGTCATTTGCTGTCTAGATGCTTGTAGTGTATTATACATGATACATGATTAAATTTCTTTATTTCTAATTTATCAATAAAAAGAGTTTTGTATTCCCACTTTCAAAACAAAGTCTGATTTATAACTTTCAGAAGACAGCAAAATGAGAAATATCTGGGTATGATAAAAAAAAACTGGGACATTACTGGCAATGTCTGGGTTTCTTGGACAGTCTGTGGATCAGGCAAGTTAGCTACACCATGGAGCCACATCGCCATAGTTTCACATATATTAAGAATATCTTCATGATGACAAAATTAAAATGATTTGGTCAATTTATAATTAAAACACAGTTTTATAAAAACATAAGGAAAGATAAGGGAAATATTAACCCTTTCAAATTATGCATCATGTACTTTCACCTAAAATAATGTTGATTATTACAGTACCAGTACATACAGCTAGCCCCCACATAACTGATGCTCGATTACCAGCCTAAACTAATATTAATTTGATATACTACTGTACAGGCAATATTTTTAGCAGTCTCATAAATTGATGCTTGTACTAAGTAAAAATTCATTACAAGTCTGAAAATTTGACCAAGATGGCCACTATCACTGCCTGCAAGTCTGCAGATTCAATAATAATTAATTTATGGTTCTGTCCACAATATCAAGTTTTCTGTTGCAAATATATGGGATTTGCCCATATATGGGTATAATGGCGTATCAAATCCATATAGTAAATCACAGCTATTTGTCACAGAAAAACGGGACAGTGTGGACCTAGACCTTTAGATGGTGGTTTTTACCACCTTGAAATCAAAGGTGTTTATACTTGCAAGTTTGTAACCATAGATCTTGTTATAGAAGGACCTGATTGGACAGTGCAAGACATCATAGACGGATTGGATCTTGTCAATGCTGTCTGTACTCTTTTACAATGATTTTTTTTTATCTCTTTTTCTTAATTTTTTAATCTTGGCAAGATAGACATTGATCTATTTGAAACCTTTACAAAAAAGTCTCATGCATCCCATAATAGTGATTTTAACAGGAGTCAAACACTAATACAGTTATTCACCTAAACATTCTTAGAGGAGGTAAGAAAACATACTCAAAATTCAACCATGACACATATGGCAATTAATAATAATAATAATACATAATTATATTCAACTGGACCAAACTTCAATATAGTTTATGAACTATCAGTAGACAATACTCTATAATTCTATATAATGTTACAGTAAAAGAGGAATGACGTCAATTATTGTTAATAATACTGTTGTATCACACACATGTTCAAATGATCATTTTAACTTGATACGAAAATAATAGTAATTAATATTCATTAACCTGTAAGATACTGATTATTCATTTGGTAATCTAACCTTATAAGAAAATAAAAATCTATTGGGCAAGCTACGCTCTTAAATAGGCAAATTATAAGCTTAGAACAAGCATTATGATGCATATTACTAGGTCAGCAATCAACATAATGAATATTCAGTAACTTAGCTATACTTACAACCATAAGCCAATGCATATTCATCGGATAATCTACATTATTACAATAATTACTGGAATTAATGAGGCAACAACAAGGTTGCTTTTATAATCATAATCCATTGATTCAATCAAAAATTACCTTTAAGCTACTAAGGACTGTAACGTGGTAGCCAGTATACAGTCAATCCAAAGTTAATATCAAAGAGTATAGAACTGCAAGAGGTCCGACTCTTCGGGGTTTCATATCGAATGCATGCCGTGTCTAAAGAACGCACGTTCGAGTTCCAAATTTTATTCAAATTACAATAGGGCGCCCCCTATCTCGTGCTGTGGTAGAACCTTGTTTTGTTAGTTTTATTACATACATGCAAAATCAAGGGCCTCTTGTAAATCTGTACACTTTGTTATTATGATCACCCATTGTGCAAATGAAATACAGTAAGCAATTTAGCATACATTGCAAAAGACAAGATACTATTATATTTTTGTAAGCGAAAGCTATCTTAAATCTTGTGACAATATTATTTATTATTATTTTGAATACCCTGCCAAAGTATGCAGTACAAGCCCTTTCACCTTTGTAAAAAGTTGATAACTAGGGCTATGAAATGAAGTAAATATTTTCCAATCAAGCATTAAGTGTAAGTGTGTAAAGACCAGTCCAGACTATCAAATTTGACTTGCCTAAATACGGTCA